TAATGATTATAAGAAATGCCAAACAAGTAATTTTGACCCCCCATTGATAGATCTACTGTTAATATATTCCTCCATGATTCTATATTTTATAATTCGTATAATTTCACTTACTGACTATGGTGTTCAGTTCCGGGTTAAGCTTGAACTGTTTCTCAGACGGGAACATGTCTTGGTTCTTACACTCCTCTGGAAGAAAAATATTTCAAATCAGAAAGTTAAGTGCTTGAGTGAGCACCCTGGTTAATTTCGTCCCCTGTCCATGGTTTAAATCCTCTATTCACTGCGATCGCTCTATCCGTCTCCATGTGCGATTTTCACTTAATACTATTTTCTCGTTCTCGAGTTATCTTCTCCCTCTGGAAAGGCCAGCGTTCGCGCTACCACCGCGTCATGCTAAGTTATTTTTACGCGTAGCCTTTAAACGCTACCCGGCGGCGGGACAATGAGACCCATGATCAATATTTATACTGCGCCATTTATTAAAGAACTTTATTCAAGTTCAAACTATCGATATAATCGCTTCACTTTTATTCTATCTTCGCCTTATCGATGGATTGAGAAACATTTGAGAGAGGATTAGAAACGTTCGGTCACAGGATGATTAGCAACGACGCTTGTTCAATTTACGTGCGCGTGTCTGAACAATGGACGTGACACGCAACAAGCCACTATACAGCTACCATCGTCACGGATTCTGATGCCCAGTGATTATCTACGAAGCGTAATACTGGTCGCGTTAGTTCCACCGTCGCGGCTCTTCTAGATTATTTTAAGCCTCTATCCACTTCGGAGAAAGTTCACGCGGATGGAAAAAAATTACATCCCGATTTGTCGAAGTGATTTTCCATAAGGAGGCATCGGGTTTCCACACTAAACGTATGATTTAAATGACGGACGATCATAATCGCGTTTGATTTATCGGGGCATGGTAAATCTCCCGTTGACATGTTGGATGAATATTCGCCTTCTTTCGAAGCGTGACTGTAATAAATCAACGAGTCTGTTGAAAAGAAACGCGTATTTGTTTAGAATGGTGGAAAAGAGCGTTCAAATAATATGTAACAATTTATTTAATCAAGTATATTCAATTTTGTGCTTGGAAATAAAAGTTACAGTTTGATAATGCAGAAAATTCAGGTTATTATTTTCGTATTCGTTGCACGGTTTCGAAATTATTCAATTAATTATATGTGGTTGATTTAATGAAGATGAACGGGCAAATGAACGCTCGGAGTAGTGGCACGCCAGTGTCGCCTGTGTCACGAGCTTGGCTGACTGTGAATCACGTGTAGCGTATTTAATTATTGGGAAAGCTTAGTGGAAGCTGCTCGTGCCAGAGAAAAAGCAAATACTTTGGCCGCGCCACGGCCGCTGCGCCTCTTTTTACCAAGAGTTTGCCGAACAAAGTTTTACTTAATAAAAGTTCGGTTTAGTTTGTTATTTTACGAGCCTCCTCCCTGCGCTCTTACATTTTTCCTAACAAACCAGGTCCGAGGTCCGAATTAAAAATAACACGTTCTCTGCTCTCCGATAAAAAACGAGACTTTTTATACTGTTCGACGAGGCTGGCAAAAGTTAGTTTAAATTATCTCATAAGTTTAATTAAGTAATTTTACTTACTGAATGGGACCAGGGCGGTGGAGTTCTCGGGTTTTGGTTCCAAACCGTAAACGCAGCCTCTCCAGAGCCCCATGTGTTTGTAGATCAGCTTTCGGCCCTTGCTTGGATCCCCAAGGGGCAAACCATCTTCGGTCGGCGACTCAAGGGTGAACCAGTGGTCCGTCCCGATGGCGACGGACCATATGCACACCGACAATCCTACGAGAACTGTGCAGCCGAGGAGAATTCGCCTCTCAAAGACGACCTGCAGCATACACAAGTGCAAACCTCATTCAATTTGAATCCAGTTCATCGAATCAATTTCTAAACGTTCCTGCCAAAGTCTCAAAGCCGAAAAGTTAATGCAAATTTGAACTTCGTAAACACTGAACAATAGGAGTAAAGTTTGACTGTGTACCTGATTGTACAGGGCTTTCATTCGACTGGCCATGTTTTCTAGATTTCAGATCCGTCTGATCACTTTTCCTTTGTGGCTGAGCGTAATTGTTCCGCGGAATTGAAACACCAAAGTTCATTCGTGTCTTAAAGCTGACGATACCTTCGGCCTGGGGATGGACAACTTCGAAAGGTTTCGATCATGTCAATCGCGAATCACATAACAATTAATACTTATATAGTTTCGCTACGGGATCACACTGATTCTCTTTAGTTTCTAATTCATTGCGAACGTCTGTAGGATGGATATTTTCTGGTCAGAAATATACTCGCACGTTTCTCTTTAGAAACTTCAGAAATAAATAAAATACTTCTTGGAAGGTTTTCGTGTTTAATTTTCAAGCATTTTCGTTATTCCTGCGAGGCATTTATTTTCATCGTTTTTTCCACTCGTTTCGGTAGCGTTCCATTCGGTGGCTTCCATTTCCTTGCTGTTGTCTCTACTGTGGATAATCGTAACTCCTCTTTTTAATACTGTTTCGCATTGCTCTTCTCGGAATTAAGTCCTTCTCGAAAAACACCTATAAACGCAAAGCACAAAACAAGAATTTATTATTGCAATAATACATTGAAGCTTTTCTCAGTTTATACATATCAGAATCTGGCACTTTGTTAACGGGTGTTTGGCATACGTCTTGGACGTAATTCAACGAGATTAGTGTACCATAGCCCTGTATCAATGCGATTAACAGCATGATTGAATCAATAGACCGAGTATACAACGTAGATTTGCTTAGGTAGAATGAAATGCAAATTAAATCCAAAATTCGTATTGTATTTACCAAATGATTAAGCTCGATAGTTCTCACTAGTGTCTTTTGGAACGCAAACGCCGTTTCTGTTATTTGAGACAGCAAAGTAACACAAAGAAGCAAATATAAATATGCGACTGAAATATTTTGGCATGTGTAAATCTGTCTGTCGAAACGTGTCATCATTTGATTCGTCTCGTCTTCGCTACAAGGCTACGGCGTATCAACGTCGATTTGACGAAGCCAAATGAAATAATGCCGTACGCCAGGCATACAATTTCCTTGCTACTGCCGCGCAACTCGAGCGTCCCGAGATTAACAGGACACAATTTACATGGAACGCGGAAATGGGATTAGAATCTTAAACGATGTACCTTCTCCATCCCATTGAAGAAATCTTTAAACGATATTAAACTACTAGCGCCTCGAACGCCAGTCCATCACTTCGCGATATCCGTGCCAATATTATTATTGTCATTATTATTATCATTTCTGATGGCAGAAATGAACAGTGAACAGTAGTGAATGTACTCGTTACTCATCGAAAAATGGACTTGTCTCAATATAAGTAATTGGCGTCGATGATTGATGAAATCGACAAACTTCTTTATAAATTTGTGATACGGCAATAAATTACTGTGGCATTGTTTAATCCGTGATTACAATTCCTTTGCGAAGGTCTTGTTTTAAGAATATAAATTACGTATATCGCAGAGCGCATGTCAAGCTATTTGAATTACCTTAACACAACGGAAGTGCTTTACGTGATATACGTACATTTTTGTATCGAGGGAGTACATTGTTTTCGTAGTATTATAATGCCGGGGGATATTCTTATAACGCAGGTAGAGCGAGCCGGAGGAAGAATTCTCGTACCGAGACGGAATAGATATCAGGCTTGTGCCAGAGGATAATAGCTAACGATAGCTTTTGTATTCGAACGCGTCTTGTAAATAAATCTGAAGATAAATTTAGTAACTTGTTAGGCTTGTTAATCTACATGCCACTGCACGCTTCAAACTAAAACTTGTCATTGCTTCTCAATAACTGTTAAATCAAGAAAATAGTTTCTTATTTTCCTGTAATATAAAATTTCTAATTTGCTTATATTTTAAAGAGGTAGAATTATCGAATACTCGAAATTCTTCGCGTAGACGCAACATCTGAATAATTCGGCGAAACGAAAATAAAGAAGCTGTGACTAATAAAAATTTGCGATTATATAGTAGACGATTTATGTAGTTCCTTTATTGTGGTGCGCGAGTCCCGAGGAAAGCGGTAGGTGCATAAATTCGGCAGGACATTAGACTAGCAGATGTCTCACAGTAAATCGGAGATTTACCATTTCGTTTCGTAACCGGCGGTGAAACCTCGCATTCCGACAATTCACCGGGCGAGTCCGTAACGAACTTGGCACGACAACCAAGGATAAATAATTCCGAGGCACATCTCGTTAATCATGCAAATTAAGATTACTTCTTGAACAAATGTTGTTTATCAAACCAAACGACTACATTTCGCAGAAAGATTAGAGTTGAGATATTAAAACAAAGAAAGCACATGAAATGCTTGATGATATCTATAATCGAGCGCCTGACTAATACCGTCTGATTCTACTGATGTTCCCTCTGTTTTGTATAATGCTCCGAGGCGAGCGGAATTATTACTATTTACTATTATAAATATTTATTTAAACATGCAAGATACAATTACTGTTTACTTATGAAATATACATGAGCTACTAGAATGTACCGGCTGTAAAATCGGCTTTGCCTCTCCTGAAAAGGGGAAAGAAATTTAATCAATGTCAAGAATGCGCCTGAATAGGTTTTCATATCCGGAAATGATGGCTCGATGAGAAACGGACTAAAGAGGGCTTCGTACAAATATAGCTCATGAGATGTTATTTAACTTCGAAAAAGATTCCTCTCCACTGACAGGACTTTTAAATAACGTGTTTGGTATAAAATTTGATCTACATTCACCGAACGTTCCTTTTGCGCATAAATTATTATCGGCGTTACAATTGTCAGACCGTATTTCAATTTTACCGTTCACAGGAGTCTGACGAACGATCAAAATATAGCGTATGCGATCACCGGAGTATCTTAAAATTCACGTGTCGATGGACGCGTGTTGAGATCGTAGCGATAGACGTAGACGAGAATTTACGAGTCTACCGTATGTCAGAAACGATCAACACGTTCGGACGTGTTTATACGAATTACTGTACGCGTTATTCAAAGTAGTAGTCCATTATCCAAATGAACCGTCCTTATGGCACGCTGTTGAACATCCCCCGTGCGAAGAAAGAGTATTTCTATGTTTCAATCGAATAAAGATAGTCAATTTTATTAAAACATTCCTTCGATTCCGATGATCCATAAAAGTGGTAAATAATTTTATTAATAAAGCGATTACTGGATATGGTATGGATAGCGAAGGCGTGAGAGGTCCCAACAGACCGAGGAATCATTGGTATTTGGCCTAGTTTTTCGCGGAACATGATCCCTATATTTTTTCATAAAACTTATTAATGAACGCTACCTCCCCCCAGGGAGGAACGAGCGGCAGGGGATTCGGTTTCGCTGATAATTCGATTTCGCCCGTTCACTCATTGTTTCGGATCCACTTGTTTTTTCTTCCTCACTACTAACTTTATTTTCATCGCGTGTTGCGCAGCTTTCTTCCCAGGTTCTGCGGGACCAAATTAGATTCACTGTTTAGTTCATTAATTTTGCAGCGGGAGTGAAAGATCGCGGCTTGACTGACACACGTTAGGAAATGCTACGCCGTCGGGCTAAAAATAGGATCACAAACGTTTCCAACGCGTTCAAATAATACATCGTTAACGTTATCGATTTTTACGGGATAAATATTGATGAAGGTTATTATCAGTAATTTCGCTGCGCGACGAAACTTTCCCAAGACACGTGGGACACGGACGCTTATTAAAGTCGAAGATGGTGCTATCCGTCAAAATTTGTCATTCCCGGCGACTTTGAGTTTATTGTATAACTGTGATTACGCAATTTTCAGGCAGCAGCGAGATGTCCATTTCACATATGATTAACTTGAAATGACGAGGAATTCACGAGACTGGCAGAAATGATGGAATGAGATCTCTTATAACCGAAGACCAACGAATTTATCCTATTCCAAGACTGTAGGCAAATATAGGATCACTGTGAGCTTTGAACAAATTTCGTATGCGACAAAATCCAATTTAGTTCGCATTATTCATATTGTGTGAAATTGGATACTAACGTTACCTCTGAGAACAAATATATCTATATAGTTGTAAATATGAATACTGTCATGTTTGTTACATACTTCACGTGCGGGGAAAACACGTTGTTGTCTCATTATTAAATCCGTGTATATAAAATGCGTATGAAAATATTGCGCGTTTCCATTATCTCCGCCCAAAGATTACCTGAAGGCCGTATTATTTATTTATGGAACACCATGAATAAAGTGGAGCGCGTTGATGTCCTATCCTTCATTATACAGTTCGCCCTAGTTTAACGACTACAAGAACATACGCTCGAGTAACCTACGCAACCGGCTCTGTCGTAAAGTCTTTCGTCTAAGAACGAACAGAGCTGATTCAGATCGCTTATCTGTTGGCGAGACGCTATTCTAAATCAAATGGTTTATATCAGTTGCAATAATCAGCGATGACCAGTTTTGTTAACAATGTACAATCGTTGGCAGCGTCTCGTTGACAGTAGACATAGAACAGTCCTCTGTGTTGAAACTGAGATAATCAGACGGGAACAATTTGAATCGAGCCTTACACGTTATTACAACAAATTTTCTATGAAATGCTAGAACATATTTAATGTTTATTTTTACATGATTTTATTCTCCATTACTTTTTAATGGAACGAGTTCCACTCTTCGAAAGAGTAGCGGCGCAAAGATGGGAGGTTTTAGGCTAACAATAAGATTACAGAAGACGCACATGCAGGGGCTGTTTCATCGCGAGGTGTTAACGATGCATAAAAGTCGTGGCTAGCCTGCGTTATCGATGCACGTCGTTTTTCATTGCATCGTGACGTCAATTCACTCGCTATTGTTTTATTCGTTTACTGCCGGAGGTTTATTTAACCGCAGCTGTGCGTATCTACACACGCGAGCCTGCGAGTTATAAACGTTGACAAAGCAGTCGCCCCGCGCCGCTTCGCCAGTGGCTGTCAGGACGTGGACACGACACCCACAAGTCGCTATTTTCGAGCATCTCCTTCACGTACCGCCGTTCCCTCCGTCTACGCCTTTTGTGTGTATCCGCTTCCTTTTTTTATGAACCGAGAGGCATGGGTCACCTGTTCCGCGCGACGACGGAACGAAATATTGCCTGCTAACAGATGGTTTCTCGGCAACGTTTCGTTACTAAAGCGAAATGGTCCTCCGATTCATGTGACTTTATTTTTTTATAAAATTTTTTAAACGTATCTCGATGAGTGGGACATAAATTTTTGTGCAATGCATTAGGAGAAGAGTTATATGATTAAAATTGTTCTCGAACTGAAAGGTTTGTCGTTTCTCCAAAACGCGATAAAAATAAACGAACCACTTCGTCGGATTCTCTTCTCCTCTGTATTCGAGGGCCGGATACTTTGGATAAAGAGAAACAAGAAACAGAGGTGAACGGCATCGTTCCGATACTCGAAAACGAAAGACTCGTCGATTTATCGTCATCCTAACGACTCTAGTCACCTGTCTCTCTCCGCCTAATCCTCTCTCTCTCTCTCTCTCTCTCTCTC